GTGGTGGCGGGGGAGGCCGGGGGGGCAGGGACAGGCCACTTGTTGGTACCCAAATCATCCAGCAGCCCCAGGAGTCCAGATCCTGCAACCGGTCAGATCCTGCACCGAGTGACACCCGTTCACCTGTCCCAAACCATAGAGGGCTTGGGGACGTCCGCGAGCCCTCCCCGCCCCCCATGCCTCAGTTTCCCTCCACACGCAGTTTGGTATCGGGGATGCCCCACCCCGGAAGGCTGGGGGGGAGCTGCTGGGTGCCAATTAGGGTGGTGTTGAATTGCAGCACCCATAGGTGGGGGGTCAGGGGGTTCGGTCGCCTGCCTCCATCGCTGGGAGCCGGCAGCAGCGAGCATGCTGGGTAATTTCATGCTAATTAGGGAGAACAAAGAGGGAGCGGGCTCGAGGGGGGGGACATGCTTGGGGACGATGGCCCCACCACCCCCTGAGGCAGGGGCTGCGGGAGAGGGGACGGCGAGATGCCAGGACAGGGGTCCCCTTGGGAGCTTTGTCTATGTTCATTAATTAAGCGCTGTAATTAGCACTGGCAGAGGGGTGGGGGCGGATGATGGCAGCCCCAGGTTATCCCCATCCCCAGCATACCCTCCTGTTCCCAGGCCCAGCAGGGTCAGCAGAAGCAGGCACAGGTCCTGGGGATGGGGGCATGGGACGGGGGGGGACGGGGACCCCCACGCTCTGTGTCCGGCAGATCTACCGGCGCTGTTGGCTGGTCTTCAGGAAATCCTCCAGCAAAGGGCCCCAGCGCCTGGAGAAGTACCCGGATGAGAAGTCTGCATGCCTGCGAGGGTGCCCCAAGGTGAGGGGGTGCACTGCACAGGTGCTGGGGTGCTCCCCACTGCGGGGGGCCCCGTGCCAGACCACGTCCCTCCTTGCCTCAGCTTGCTGGGTGGCTGTTGCCCCATGAGGTCCAGTGGGATGGAGCTGGGTCTGGGTGCAGCAGGGAACACGGTCTGGGTGCAGCATCTGGAGTCTGGGTGCTGCAGGGGCCAGGGTGTGGGTGCAGGAGTTGACAGGGTCTGGGAGCACAGCAGGGCTCTGGGTGCAACCCTCAGTGTTGCCCCCCACCTCCTCTGCAGGTCACTGAGATCAGCAACGTCAAGTGCATCACCCGGCTGCCCAAGGAGACCAAGAGACAGGCCGTGGCCATCGTTTTCACCGACGACTCCGCCCGGACCTTCACCTGCGACTCAGGTACGGGGCAGCGCCCACGGATGCCGGGCTGGGGGTGCTGGGTGAGGCACCCTGGCTTGGCCAGGGTCGCCCAGGGGCTGCCGTGGTGCCTTGCAGAGCTGGAGGCGGAGGAGTGGTACAAGACGCTGTCAGTGGAGTGCCTGGGCGCCCGCCTGAACGACATCAGCCTGGGGGAGCCCGACCTGCTGGCGCCCGGCGTGCAGTGCGAGCAGACGGGTGAGCGTGGCGCGGGGCTCCACCCCGCTGCGCTGCACCCCCCACGGATTATTTTATTTTCTGGTTTTTTCCCCGTCTCCAGACCGGTTCAACGTGTTCCTCCTCCCCTGCCCCAACCTGGACGTTTACGGCGAGTGCAAGCTGCAGATCACCCATGAAAACATCTACCTCTGGGACACGCACAACCCCCGGGTGAAGCTGGTCTCCTGGCCCCTCTGCTCCCTGCGCCGCTACGGCCGCGACGCCACCCGCTTCACCTTCGAGGCCGGGCGGTGAGATGTCACCCTTGCCAGGAGGGGGATCAATGCTGCATGCCTTCATCCAGCTGGATGCTCCAGGAGATGGCACTGCTGCCATCACCACAGGGCAGACCTGAGGCTGGGGTGATGGCCACGGCCTGCATAGGGTGCCCCAAGGCGGGGGGTGTTTGGAGCTGGGTCTAGTCCCAGCTCAACACCATGAAGGGGACATCGGGACAGCTCTAACAGCATGGGAAGCCGGGCCAGCTGCCACCTGGGGTGGGTTTTGTTTATCACCCCTGGTGACGTTCCGTGCCCCATCCCTGCAGGATGTGCGATGCAGGGGAAGGTCTCTACACCTTCCAGACGCAGGAGGGTGAGCAGATCTACCAACGCGTGCACAGTGCCACGTTGGCCATCGCTGAGCAGCACAAGAGGGTCCTGCTGGAGATGGAGAAGAATGTCAGGGTGAGCTCCAGCCCACCCCGTGGTGGGGCACAGCAGGGGAAGACTCAGGGGGCCCTGTGTCACCCTTCTCCCTCTCTCATCCACCACAGCTGCTGAACAAAGGCACTGAGCACTTCTCCTACCCTTGCACCCCCACCACCATGCTGCCCCGCAGCGCCTACTGGCACCACATCACCGGCTCCCAGAACATGGCTGAGTCCTCCAGCTATGCCGGTGAGTGTCCCTGCTCCCCTGCCAAGGAGCTGCTGCTCCTCCAGCCCCCATGGCATTCCCAACCAGGTGAGCCCACCCTCTGCTTTGTCCCCAGGGGAGGTGTATGCGGGCGCCCAGGCCAGCTCGGACACCGACCTCCTCAACAGGTTCATCTTGCTGAAGCCAAAGTCCTCCAAAAGCGACAAGCCTGAAAGCAGAGAGCCCACATCATCCCCGTGAGCTGGTGGGCGGGGGAACTGGGGCAAGG